GATATAGCATTTTCTGGTAGGATGTCCTAAGAATCTATGATAACGACAGTAATTGGGGTCATCCACTTTTCCTACCTCATCCGGCTTCCTGATCTCGGGAAGTTGCAGCTTATTGTTCTTCCGAAGTAACTAGACCAAAGTGTCCACGTGCTCCTCTTTAAACGAGTATTGTTTAGGTACTCTCTGCTGATTCGGTGCTTTGCCTTACTTGGCAGGTAATGACCGTGTACTGGTATCGGCGGCCATCGTCTCCTTTCCCTTGGATCGTGGAGCATTGTTCTGATTGCGTTGCTGTTGTGGTTTTGGTTGAGTAGCTTCTTCAACCTTGACCCGAGCAACGATTTCTTCGGCTTGTTCTCCTTGCGAAACCAATTATCTCCAGGAGTGATATTCTGCTACCCCCATCTGTGCAAGGAGCTGGGTATGGAAGTTGTGCCTGTAAGTTTCGACCAAAGTTGATTGGATCATATTTGAAGGGCATCGCAATACCATGCTACGAAATCTTTCCACGTAAGTCTTGATGGACTCTCCCTTCCTTTGCTTAGTGGCAAGAAGGGTTGGGACAGACACTTCCATATCATCCTCGAAAAACCTGGCTAAGAAGAGCCTTTCCAGATCTATCCATTTTTGAATAGATCCAGCAGGCAGTTTCATAAACCACTCGAAAGCAACTCCTTTAAGAGTGCCGATGAACAAACGGGTTAGAATGACACCGTTTGCTACCACATCTCTAGTCTGTGACTTGAAGTAGTAGATGTGTTGGTTCGGTGATCCTGTGCCATCGAAGAGTTACAGAGTTGGGGCCTGCTCGCTTCTTTTGGCGATTGCGTTGAGGCGGGCCTCTAACTCATCCACTTTAGATGGCTGAGGATTTGGTTCTCTTTCCATCTCCTTCTCATTTTCAGAAGAGGATTCTATGTTCTGAGCCTCACGTTCCGAAATCTCATGTGCCTTCTGTTTTCCCTTTGAAATGGTCCTCCGGGAAGATTCAGGATTTTTGCCTCTTTCTACAAGAAGCTGGGCCAACATATCCTTCATCTGAAGAAGTGTCTCTTGCTGTGTTTGGAGCATGATCTGATGTTCGTCGAATTTTTTTGCTAAGTCGTCAGGGCCTCTAGTCATGTACACGGGAGCTTCTCGCGCCATGACAGAGCTCGAGGATTGAGATTCGACAATTGCTGAATGTTCATCATTTGAAGTAATCCCCTTGGCTAACTTTTGATAATTAACCGAGAGGATATCTCCTGTCCGGGTTCGAGTGTGGCGATATATTCCTTCAAACTCATCACAGATTTCCTGGACAGTCGGAGAGTGGCTTTTTTCTGATTTGTCAGAACTAGGTGCTGAGGCCTTTCCTCTGCCGATCACGTTAATAGTGACTTTAGGATATTCGGCTTCAGAAATCTTCTTCTTGTGATGACGTCGTCGCTTGGCAGGCCTGGCGACATTTGTCAAATGGTCAAACACTGATTGTCGAGGTGCGGTCGCACAACAGTGACACTCCGAGAGGACTGCAGAGATAAGTCGCTCACATTGGCATGAATGAGTTGTTTGTTGTGCAGGTCTCCCCCTCGATAGCAATTCTCGCAAGTCAGAGACTTGCGATGAAGAATTTTCCTCCGATCGTGAGTACGGAGATGGAACCCCCTGCCCTTGAGTGGGTAAGACTGGCTCTTATCGGACATGAACTTCGAACCCATGTCAACTCCCTTGAACTTGACGGACCACGTCGCGTTCTGGAGAAGAAACGCGAGGGTCGCGTTTGGATTTGTAAACACTAGGTCGAGGCCTGTGTTTAGTTGATAAAACAGACCTCTGAGGGTCATGTTTTGGTTGAACGCACTCTTGAGGTGTGCGTTTGGTTGATGGAACGTGCCTTTGATAGTCACGTTTTGATTTTGAGACGCATCGCTAAGGCGTGTGTTCACTTTTGAATACGCACCCCTGAGGTGCGTATTCTCTTTTGGAAACGTACTCCTAGGGTGTGCGTTCTGGTTTTATAACGCACTCATGAGAGTTGCGTTTTTCTTTGGAGACGCACTCCTGAGGTGTGCATCTGGATTGAACAAAGCACCACTGGGGGTCGCATTTAAGTTGGATTACACGATGTTCGTAATCGGGCTCGTTACCACGAAGTGTGCGTTCAGAGGTAGAGACGCAGCACTCAGGCAGAGACTCAAGAACGCATCTTCGCGTTGGGCAAGAGATCGGCTGTTCCGCAAGTGCGCTCGTCGTATGGATCTTCTCCTTCGTCAAGCGGCGTTCTTCTTGGCTTGCTTCAACACCTTGGAAGCAATATCATCGGCGTTGATTGGACTTTCCTCCGTCATAGGCCTTTTACGACCTATTACACACCGTGTTGACGCGAGCGTGGAGTTTTCAACTTGCTGAACAAGTTTGACAGAGGCTGAGCCCACTCATTTGGAAAAGGGGCTGTTTGATGAATCTTGGTCAAAGAAGAGGGCTTTCTTTGGTATTTCAGCAGTGATTTTGATCTCTTTGGAGATCTTACGGGTGTTGTGCCTAGCCTTAGGGCTAAGCGATCCAGAGGAGAGTGCTTCCTCGTACTTGGCTTGATCAAACTCTACAACGAGAGTTTTGACGGTTGTTCCAGTGAGATGAACATCAGATTGCGCCACCACTTCGTCGTCAGAGAAGCTAGTCCCCAGCGGAGTCGACATCTTTTGTTTGGCGAAAAATTTATACTAAAAAGAAAAATTAAAAAAATATATATTTGATTTGTATTCTCTCAATCTCAATTACAATTTGGATTTTCGATTACAAAAGAGAAGAGAATTGATCTGAATTCTTCTCTTTGTTTAATTCTGGGTTCTTCACGGTGGCGATGGAGTGCTTCCTTCGAATGCTCGCGTCGAATTTTCTCTCCGTTAACAATCCGCACATCTCAATTCGCTGGAACAACTAACTTCCGTGACAAGTTTAATCAAGAACTCTTAACCGAGTTTTATAACTCAGGGCGAGTGTTAAACTCCGAGAAAAGAGTTGTTTGAATCGAATAATTGGTTAATAAGCCAAGTAGAATTTGCTGTTGATGAATGATACTCCAAGATATTCTTGTTGCCAAGAATCTCCCTCCAGCTGATCTTGTGGATGATCTGATCTCTCTCAATCCAACCAAAAAAATCCAACCCCCTACTCGGTTGAGTAAGGCAGTTTTATTTATAGGGGGATAAGGGGTGTAACCAACCCCTAAATCCGCTCCAACGTGGGCGGAAATCCCTCAAAACGTAGGATAAACGGTTTTGAGGCCGTTCAGCTTGTGTTTGAACAAGTCAAATGCCTAAATCGGCGTTATAGGCCTTAACCCTGCATCTTAGACTTGAGACGCAGAGTTGGGTGCTTGCTGGTAATTAAAAAACACAGGGGCCGCTTGCGTTCTGGGTCTTAACTCTGCGTCTTAGACTTAAGACGCAGAGTTGGGTATCTACTGAAGATTGGAAACGCACGGGCCGGAAACGCACGGGCCGTTTGCATTTTGTTTAATTGAAGGTTGAAAACGCACGGGTTACCTGTGTTTCTAAAACTGACACGTAAAGGTGAATTCTGCGTTTGAAAGGGACTAGTGATTCGTAATCTCTTTTGTAAAGCGTTGCAAAGACTATTGTTCAGTGATCTTCGCTTTAGCTGTTTTAAGGTGTGAAAGTCGTTAGATTGTAACTCTCACAGTTGATGGTAAATGCCACTGAATAGAGTTTTCGTTAGTCGTCGGAAGGGCCATTGAATTGTAACTCCTCTCGATCTATATGAAAAGTCTTCCATTTGCAGCTTTCATTTATTGACATGAAAGTTGTCTGATTGTAACCTTCTTAGTCAAGACTGTTGGTTGAGGTTTGACAGGGATCAGCTATCTATTGTGATTTTTAGACATCCTATATTATTTACGTAGGACCATGATGGGAGCCGAACACCGGTATAATCCGGTTGAAAAAGAATGTCTCGCTTTGGTATTCGCCATCCAAAAGATGCGACATTACCTGGTTGGACAAACAATTCATGTCATCTTTAAGGTAAATTCTTTGAGAGTTCTCATGACCAAACAGTTCCCCTGCGCTTCCAAAACCTGTTCTTCACCAAATTTCTCGCCGATTCTACACGTACATTATTGATCCCTAACTTATTGTTTTTTTTTTTTTTGTAGGGAATCAAGGTCAATGGGGGCATCAGATTTTGTAGATGTTACAGCAGAAAAGGCAACAGAGGAAAACAAAACTTAGATGTCAGGCGTGCGTCTACTATTTTGTATTATGGTTCAGGTTAAAGCTTTGGTACATGTATCTGTGGTTGGCTTTTGAATCATTTTATTGATTGTATCTTAAGTTGGTTTTATTTTTCTCCTACAGATCTATATGTTACTCTCTCTTTCTTCAAACTGTCGTTTACAAAGTTGGCTTTGTTATTAGAGAGAAAATTTTCGCATCATCATAAACTTGTTTCACTTTCCACAAACTGTTGTTTACCAGGTTGGCTTTATTACTGGAGAGGGAAAATTTTCACATCACAGTAAACTTGTTTCACTTCCCAGATATCTTGTGATTTGTGTTTCTTTTCCTTTTTTTCTCGCATTGTGATTTGTGTTTCTGGTGTTATGGAATCTGTATTAGTTCAGGCAGAAAATCTTATTGTTCCTTTAAATTTATTTCATTCTCTTAATCTTTCATTGCTTGAATCTTTGATTTCACTCAAGTTATTAATGGATTCGCCTCACAATGAATACCACCATGCAAAAAATAACATGCCGGTTAGCACCAATTTCATTGGCAATGGCTGCTTCTATTGAACTTTATTCATGGGTTGTAAGTAAAGACTATGAACATAATTATATGCCTTGTGACGTTATTTCTTCGGGTTTATGACCATCGGGTCTCCTCCTGAGCCAGCACGCACAAAATACAAAATAGAACCATCCTACTGGTATTAAGCTAAACAAACGTAATATTTCAGATCAACAATGATATTTTACAAGGATTCAAAACATAAGATGTCAGAAACTTAAAATGTCTATACACACAAACAAGCACAGGTACATTTGAGAAAAGCACAATCATGCATGGAAGTTTTCACGTATTACAATCACAAAGCTATTAAGCAAATATCATAGAGAAACTCCAAATAATCAGACATATTAGTTTGTACTGCCATCAGTTTCCCAATAATTGACACAATGATAGAAAGGTCTAAGTATTCGAATCAAGAAATGGGTAATCTGTATATCCAACTACAGGATCTTCAATATAAAAGGTATTTCGATCATACCTATTGAGAGGAGCATTCAATTCAAACCTTCGAGGGAGATCAGGATTAGCCAAGAACCATCGACCATAAGCAACAAGATCTGCATAACCATTCGATATCGCTTTATTGCCTTCTTCTCTATCATATCCGCCAGCGACCATGAACGTCCCGTTAAAAGCTTTTCTCATGGGAAGAAGAGAGTGAGGAGTCTCTAACTTTTCTCCAACTGTGATCATCCTAGGCTCAACCATGTGGCAATAACATATACCGAATTTGTTAAGTGAGTTGGCCATGTAGAGACCGAGAGCTTCTGGGTTTGAGTCTCCAGCCTCACAGTAGTTTGCAAATGGCGATAATCTTATCCCAACTCTGTCAGCTCCAATTTCATTGACTACTGCTTCGACTACTTCTAACGCAAAGCGACAGCGGTTCTCTAGGGTTCCACCGTATTTGTCTGTTCGGTCATTGACTTGGTCCTTTAGGAATTGGTCGATTAGGTATCCATGAGCACCATGTATCTCAACTCCATCAAAGCCTGAGGATCAGTCAATTATGGTAACTCAATACTTGTACTAAGGTAGATAAGTGAATTGTTTTTGATTGAGGAACAAGTTATATGTCAAATCTAAAACTCATTCTACATATAATTACGAGTATGAGGTTTATATTTGCATATGACAGTGTCTAAAACAATCCGCCAGGTAACCATTGTCAAGAGGAAGACATAGTATACTTTATCTTGCATGTATTTTCTGATGTGAATAAATGTTTAAACATTTCCATATCCTGGACATGTATGGAAACATCTCCCATATCTGACTGGCGTAATCCTCCTTTTCCCCAAGAAATTTTATTTATCCGTTAAAATGATGGTTTGGACAAAGGAAATAAGAGAATTAAAACAACGGGTTATTTCTCGGAAATGATTCCTTCAACTTTAGAAGCTGACACAGAGAATGCAGGGCTGACAGAACTACAATTACCTTCATTTTCTCGAGAGCATTGAATTTCTACTTGGCAAAATGGGGATGAACTCAAACTAGAGGGTAAACTGAAAGACTTTTACCTGCTTCAATGGCATTTCGTGCAGCGGCTCTGAAATCATTAACTATTCGAGGTATCTCTTCTGTTGATAAACGATGTGGAGGGGAGAACTGTGCAACATCAATACCATTTGCTCTCACTTGAGGTACCAGAGGCTTATCTGTACTTGAGATTGGAGCTTGGCCATTCGGCTGATATCCTACATTGAACATTTAAACTTGTCAGAGAGTCTTAACTCGTACATTTTCTTTAAAATTACACAATGAAACTAGCAAGACACCTGTTCTTTCTGGATTAAAAATAATTTACCTTGTCTCTGACATAAATACACAAGTAACATCCAGCACCATCTAATCGTAGCTTAAGTGCAAGGATTAAAAGTTTAAGACCTTTGTATATTTGGAGTGAAAACCTACCATTTTCATGGTTCTTTTATTAGCTTATGGTGCTGGTATAAGAAAGTGATATACTAGGTCAGAAAGTACGGTTCACAATTCACACACATAAATCTACACCGCAGTCTTCAAACTAATCAAATTTTGGATGTCAGGAATTTGTGTTAGACCATCCCCTTAGTCGATGTGGGATTGACCTAAACTCATTAAATTTGACCTGTTTCATAAGTTATTACTCTTCATATTTGACTCAATGCAAGACACAAACAACATTGGAATTCATCAAATATCAACTGTTGGTTTCTCTGCAAAATTTGACATTGTGGTAAATAAACATGCATACTCAAAGATGAATTACATTTGTCCCGCGAAACGACTTAATTCTAATGAGCGCAATAAAGCGTAAATGATAAGTCTCAAAGTTCAAGGAGAAAGTTACCATAGTTAGAAACTCTTCCGACGTGCCAAATCTGGCAAAAGAAAATGCCACCCTTCTCATGAACTGCATCCACAATAGGTTTCCATGCTTCCACTTGCTCTTTTGTCCAAATACCAGGGGTATTAGGGTACCTATTAGTCATTACCAAATGGTTATATGTGAACTAACTATTAAATTGATGCGGTAATTATGTTTGAAAACTTGAAATGTTTGACAGTAAAAGGATTCTGGGATACAAAAAAAAACCACCCTTGAGCCGTGTTTGAAACCCCGGTTGCTTCAGCTATCAAAAGGCCACCTTTAGAGGTCCTCTGAGAGTAATACAAGATGGCATGTGGTTGTGGGATGTTGTTGAATGACCTTTGCCTTGTCAATGGCGCAAGGACTACCCTATAACATCAGTCATTTTAAACTTCAGAACCTCAACAACATGGGATCATTATTCAACAAAAATTTTGATAACAATGTTAGCTTTTTGTTTAATGCTATCCTTTTCATTTGAGTTGGAATTTAAATTAGACACAGATCGTATATAGTGATACGCATTACAGCCATTAAGCATGTCTACTTCCAATTTCATTTAGGCCTTTCATCAGTCATCTTAAAAGCATTGATGTGTTATAGCTCCTCCAAAATTCTTTTGTTATATCAATTGGGTTTTCAGATTCATGGGCAAACCAATCAATTCTCTCTGCATTTTCTATAGTTAAAAAGCGAAAACCCATCTAAAAGATTCATAAAACAAATTGCAACAAAATACCCAACTCTTATATGATAGCAATAGATTCTTAACATAAAACTAGCCTGTGAGAGAGTTGGAATCTGCCCATTTTGTATGGAGTAATGAGAACTGCTCCATCTGTCCTTGATTATTTCACAGCAAAAGGGAAGCGATGGGGGGGGGGGGGGGGGGGGTTAGGAAAAAACATCAAGAGATTTGTTTCTCTTAAAAAAACTCAGCACGAGTTTAAGTAGGTGGAGGGAGAGAATAGCCAGCGTTGTTTGCTTTCTCATTGCTGACTAATGACATCTTGTTAGGACCACAATGTTCCTTTTCAAAATTAGGAAAAAAAAGAGGTCATGTTCCAAATTGGTCATCTTCATGGTGTTTTTTGCCTTTGTTAGTAATGTGAAAACAAATGAAAGGTTATGTATGATGTCATTCAAGATGTCAGAAAAAATTTAGTCATGTGAAAAGAAATGAAAGGTTATGCATGATGTCATTCAAGATGTCAGCAATATTTGCTGATATTTATTTTTATGAATACTTTTTTCATGGTGTTTTTCTCAGTTACCATATCAAGCTATTCCATTAAACCCCTTTAAGTATGGGTGTTTCTCAGATAACTCTCTTAACTTTCAAAATGTCACAAAATCCCCTTCAAGTTTTGGATGTTTCTCAGAGACGCCCTTCAAGTTCAAATATCTTTCAGAAAACCCCCTAACAGCGCTTAGTTTGGGGGTTTCTTTGAAGAGACTCTAATGGTATTTTGTGACATTTTGAAAGCTAGGGGTTTATCTTAGAAATGCCCACGCTTTAGGGGGCTTCACAAACCCCCTCCCTTAAGTTAGAATGAAAGATGGAAGTAACACCATCAGCCTCGGGGGGTTTGGGGACAAAACTTAAGGGGGGGTTCGTAACAATTTGGGATGTTAAAGGGGGACTATCTTAGAAATGCCCAAACTCAAGTGTGGTTTTTGTGAGATTTACCCTTTAAAAATAGAATAGTAACTAAAAGGACAGAACATTAAATTATTGACTATTGATTCAAAATTCTATCTAAATCCAGTTCTCACACATGAATTACTAACACTAGTATCATGACTAAGCAAGGAACAATTTCAAGTTTTAATGATGCTGACCTGCTTTCTTCATCCAGAGTTGATTGCTCACTAGAATGTATTCAGGCCATAATGCTGGCCAAGAACAGGAACCAGAATATGACCACCTTGTCAAAGTAAATTCACAATTAGGAAGTACACTACATCATCTACAGAAAATATCACAGAAGATGCAACACAGATGATCAAACAGTAAGAGTACATAGTTCTAAATATCAACAAGCATTCCATCACTTCTACACACACTTCCAAATCAAATCCCTCAACCTGTAGAATCAAGAAACGGATAATCCGTATACCCAACAACAGGATCCGAAATACTCATCGTAGATTTATCACACTTATTCAGAGGAGCATTCAATCGAAACCTCTGAGGCAGGTCAGGATTAGCCAAGAACAAGAGACCATAAGCAACCATATCGGCATATCCATCAGCAACAACCATGCTCCCTTTCTCTCTGTCGAACCCTCCAGCGACAATAAAACTTCCTTTAAAGACCTTTCTCATAGGAAGAACTTTGTCTAGGAGCTGAACCCTCATTCCATTAGCCGATACAGTTCTTGGTACGATAACATGAC